CATACATTCATCGGAACATGCCTGACCTAATGTAGTTTATTTTTTTTCTAAGTGCTGGTTGCTGTACTGCTCCTCTAGAGGATCAGGCTACAGTCTAATCGGGATCCAGTCAATGGGAGGGAGGGGAGATGTGCGTGGTTAACTGCACAGGGTTTACGCTAGGCCTATTTTGTTATTGCCTCATTTGGGAAAGGCTTCTGTTACTTCATGTTCTGTTTGTTTGTTCTGAAGGAACACTGTTCATTTTATTACAAGGCATGGGTAAAAAGGTGGCTGCAAATAAGCTTAGTTTACTGACTTCATCATGAGCGGTGACACTAAAATAAATATTATTTCATGGAATGTTAGGGGTCTTAGGAAAATAGTGAAATTAAATCAAGTGATATCTAGGTTGAAGCAACTAAAAGCACAGATAGCATTTATTCTAGAGACCCATTTACTTTCCACCGAATACATTCCTTTAAAAAGGAGATGGCCAGGTCATATCTGCCTCAGTCTCCTCTCAAGCAAGAGGGGTGGCAATACTTGTACACTCATCTGTTCCATTACGGGTTTACAATACCATACAAGACACCGCAGGGAGATTTGTTATCGTCCACGGCTCTTTATTAAATCAAAATATTAATTTTGTATGTTTATATGGTCCTAACGGTGATGATACACAGTTTTATAATAACTTGTTTCGAACTTTATCAACACTACATGGTCACATTTGTATGGCAGGGGACTTCAACTGTACTCTTAACCCAACACTGGATAAGTCATTAGGCGTGGACACCTCACATATGCAGAGTAGGAAAACAATAAAACACTTTATGGGCGAGTTAAATCTTTGTGATATCTGGAGACGTAGGAACCCTTCCAGATGGGAATATTCACTCTGCTACCCATAACTTTTATTCCCGCATAGACTATTTCTTCATTTCTAAGCCTATGATACCCAATGTGAATGACACAGTGTATAAAAGTATTGTCATTTCAGATCATGCTTTACTACTTGTCAATTACACTGTCGAGGCAGCTACTAAGGGCCCAACCATATGGCGATTAAGCCCGCGATGGCTACATGATAATGAGTTCTTCCAATTTGTTGGAACTAATATTGATATCTATTTTAAAGTGAACACTACTCAAACATCAGCGTCTATGAGCTGGGAAGCATTTAAGGCCCATATATACGAGGGCAAATGATCAGTTATACAAGCAGCATCTCTAATAAGCAGCACCTAAAACTGTAGAGTTAGAAAAAGATATCAAAGAATATGAGACAGAAATTAACCTTAATGATACAAAAGAGATTAGACAGAAACTGGCCATTCTAAGAGCACAGTATAATGAATTATCCACAAATAAAGCATTATATAGCATAATGAAACTGAAACAGACATTCGATGACCAAGGAGAGAAGGCAGGGAAACTTTTGGCTTGGCGTTTAAAATCAATGGAGAATGAAAGATCAATCTTAGAAATTGAGTCAAAGAAAGGGACAACTATTACTAACCCACAAGAAATTAATCGTCTTTCTAGTCATTCTATTCTAAATTATATATGTCAGAAAGTCCAGCCACATTTTACATGCTCCACGGCTTCCTAGGTCAGATAGAAATACCGGTCCTATCACAGAACGCAAAAAAGGGGCTCAACACCAATTGTAGTGTCTGAGTTTTCAGAGGCCATAGACAGTATGAAAGGAGGGAAAGCACCAGGACCTGACGGTATTCCTATTGAAATATACAAAAAGTTTAAGGACTTGCTGTTGGTTCCTTTATTGAACATGTGTGAAGAATCAGTTGAAAAGGGTGAGCTGCCATCATCATTACGGAACGCACTTAATATTAAAGCCTGGAAAGCCTGGAAAGCCTTCCACAAAGTGTGAATCCTACCGTCCCATTTCTTTAATCAACAATGATGTGAAAATAATAGCAAAAGTTCTTGCCAGAAGGTTAGAAACACACTTGCCATCTATTGTTCTCTGGATCAAAATGGTTTTATTAAAGAAAGGCAGGGCTCTCACAATATCCATAGGCTGATGAATATTATATATGCCAAGAAAGAAACACCTGATATGGCTGGGATAGGACTTGATGCGGAGAAGGCCTTTGATAGGGTTGAGCATAAATACCTATTCGAAGTGCTTAACCGTTTTGGAATAGGCAGCTACTTCCTTAGTTGGATTAAAATCTTATATCATGACTCAAAGGCTTCAGTGATGACCGACTATAGGGTTTCAGAACAGTTCTCTCTTTCCAGAGGTACAAGGCAGGGATGTCCTTTGTCCCCTCTTCTTTTCGTCCTGGCCATTGAACCTCTAGCAATTGCGATTAGAAGCAACAGTGAGATAACTGGTATCAAAATTAATAATATTGAGAATAAAATAGGATTATTTGCCGATGACATAGTTCTATTTCTGAAAAACTTGAAACAATCTATACCTAATCTATTAAATTTAATAGGAATATATGGCAGCTTCTCAGGCTATAAGGTTAATGCTTCTAAGTCTACAATCCTTTTTCTGAAAAGATCTGAGAGATTAAGTCCTCCTCTATGTACACCTTTTAGGAATATTGTGGATAGCTTTACATATCTTGGTGTTAAAATCACACCTTCAATAGAATCCATGGTACCTACTAACTATAACCCTGTGGTTGAGTCAGTAGTAGAATCTATTAACAGATGGAAATCTTTACCACTCTCTATGATTGGACGTATTAATGTTCTGAAGATGAATATTCTTCCTAAGTTCCTATATCTTTTTCAAACCATCCCACTTGCTCCCCCTTCTAACTTCTTTGTTAAAATGAAACAACTTTTTTGTAATTACATTTGGAACAGTGGACGCTCAAGACTGCACATGACCTTGCTGTACTTACCATATGACAGAGGTGGGTTAAAGCTCCCTTACCTCCAGGGATACTATTGGGCAGCCCAACTAAGAGCAGCCTCATGTTTGTTTGAACACCAATCACTGCTGCACTGGGTAAGGATGGAGGAAATTAATTAACTTCTAAAATCCCCTTATATCTCTACCTTTATTCAGCAAATGTATCCACTCTGAGAAAACACACTGCAAACCCCTTTGTTAGAAACACACTGATAGTATGGCATGAGGTGTTAAGTTATCTTGGGGAAAATGCTCCTTTATCCCCATTTTCACCTATTTGGGGGAACAGAAACTTCACACCAAGTACTAATGACCTTGGTTTTAAGTTATGGGCAGACAGAGGTATCAGTAAAATTTCAGACCTGTATGAGAATGATACTCTTTTAAGTTTTAATGAGATTAAGCAAAAGTTTAGCATTGACTCTAAGCATTTTTTCAAGTATCTCCAGATAAGAAGCTTCATAACAAAGATACAGAACTCTGTATATCTCCCCGGTCCAAATTCTTTAGAAAATACAGTTTTGAGTCATTATGGAACAGCTGGACTAATCTCAAAATTCTATCAGATTATCATAGCTGCATCAAAAGAATCCTCAGAGGATAAAAGACTAGCATGGTGTTCAGACCACCAGAATCACTGTGTGGAAGGATATATGTTTCCAGTGCCAAGTACAAACAATAAATACTAGGTTCAAACTCCTCCAGTATAAATGGGTGATGAGAACATACATTACCCCAGAGTTACTACATCGCATTTACCCTAATAATCCGGATACTTGTGTCAAGTGTGGTATACAGAAAGGTAGCTTGTTTCACTGCCTCTGGGAATGCACCCTCATTCAAGAATTTTCGAAAGAGATTATTACAATTGTATCTATGTTCATCAATGAACAACTTCCACTATTTTCCAAACTTTGTATTTTTGGATGTTTCCCAGCAAGCTGTACATTAAACAGTAGCAGGAAGAAGATGGTTATATTTTGTCTTTGTCTTTTTGGCTAAAAATAAAATTGCACTGTCATGGAAATCTGTTCACAGACCAAGCAAGCAAAGCTGGGTTGAAGGACTACTACAATGCCTTGCTCTAGAGAAACTTACATATGTTGTTAAAGGGAAATATAACACCTTTGTGAAGATTTGGGATTCATTTATACAGTTTCTGGAGGGGGAGGATTTCATTCCGGCTTTGTAGTCTACTGTTGTAAAAAAAAAAAAAATGTTTTTTTTAAATTTTATTTGTATATATATATATATATATATATATATATATATAAAACTTTTTGGTCTGTAATGCTGTTACTTGGAACATTGTTTCAAATTATTCATTAGGTGTATGGTTGAATAGTATTATTTTCTTTTGTACAAACTGATCAGAAAGAACAGTCTTTCACTGACCAAATGACTGAACTGGGTCTGGCTACTGATTGTAGTAGTACTGTATTGAAAGTTTGGTGCGGTAGAATACGTCTCTTTTTGCAACAGCTGGAATAAAATACCACCACTGTGGAACTAAAGGGATCGCCCAAGTCATCAAGTTTCCATTCATTGGTAGATGCTTTAAACCACTCTCACAGAGAGACTTGGCACCGTGTCCAGTTGTCCTATACTAACTGCCATCAAAAACTATTTGTGTTCATTCTGTAAGATTTTGTTTTTCTGGTGGACATGCATTATTTCTAAAACACCATTTACCCAGCGTAGTCCAGTGACAACATTAAGCTTGTTATATTTGTAACTGGGGAAAATCTGGAGGAAATCATAGAACAGTCTGGGGATTCAATAATTTGTGTTTTGTCTGTCTGCTTGACTTTCATTCCTCAACCAGTAGGCACATCTTAAATCACAGAACAGTTAAGTTTGGTTTGGATTATGGCAACAAGATTAATGTCTGATTTACAATGTTGGGACAGAAACAAGACATTCTTATGAAAGAAGTTCAAGTGGATGTTGAACTGGATTATTATAGGAACTTTATGCAAACCTAAAAGACAGTAATTTCTTCCCAGTTTAGCAGTAAGGACACATTTTCATCAAACTGAAGGCAACATAATGCTTTTTGCACCTTGTCTTGATCAGCCTCATCTGTCTCTGACTCCCCTCTCTTTTGCTCTTCTTCCAGCTGTTTGAGATCACAGTGCCGATCACCCAGGGCACCAAGCCGGTGACCATCAGTGTGGCTAACCACACCCAGTGCAGTTGTCTGTCCAAACTGGATGTCTACAAACAAGTCCACAGCATCATCAGGAGAGCCCTGCCTGAGTAAGCACAAATACTCACAAACTGCAGACAGTTCTCTCATCTTTGCAAACAGTGTTCAGACCCCAAGGAGACCTCCGTCTACTTCTGGCTACTGTCTCCTCAGAGCTGTGTGTGTGTGTGTGTGTGTGTGTGTGTGTGTGTGTGTGTAGGACAGGAACAGCCTTTTCCTTTTTCCAGCAGAGGTGTTCTTATTGGCAACACACACACACAAAGAGTGTTTGAGTCTATTGTTACAGAGGTTGCTTCCTGTGTGTGTGTGTATACAGGGAGTGTTACTTTGGGAAACACTTTTCAGATAATCTCTTGATTAACTCCGCTGCACCATGAAATGTATGTATGTTCCTGAGTGCATACCTACATAAAGCATGCTGTGATTTATGACTCCTCCATAACACTCTCTGACAGTAAGGATCCCACGAGGAAGTGGTTCATGGTGTAGTTCTTGGCCTGTGTCCTTTGAAAACAGAAAGATGCCTGTGTTTCATCATTTTACAGAAAAACTGATTGAAGCAGGCAGCTCAGATACCTTTAATATAAACATACATATTTAGAACCAGACTAGTTTAATATTGTATTTGGTTTGGGTGTTTTAGTCTATTAATTATAAAATGTAAATTGGTATCAATGCAAAGTTTATCCTGCAGAGTGCACAGCAATGTAGAATACATCTCAGAGTGAGAGAAAAAGCTACTAGAATTGGTTGACAATGTATATGTTCAATTATTTAACATGTTAACAAATATTAAACTTAAATATTCTTCAATAAAGTTATTTGTTTAAGAAAACAGCCTTCTATGTACCTTTGCAGAGTCACATTGGTACAAAATCGGTGAACTATACTATTTGACTATTTTCATCTGTATCAGTTGGACTTTAGCCCATTGTTGACAATCATTTTCTAAACAACATAAACATTAATTTTAGATAAAGATCACTTAAAGGTGTGTAACATGTAGGAGGATCTATTGTCAGACATGGAATACAATATGCATAGGTATGTTTTCAATAGTGTATAATCACCTGAAAATAAGAATCGTGTTTTCATTAATCGGTAATCAGCCGTTTTTATCTAAAGATGCCACAGGCCACCTTCCGTGGAGTCCGCCATGATAAATGGCCATGTTTCTACAGTAGCCCAGAATGGACAAACCTAAAACTGGCTCTAGATGGGCCACCGTAGTTTCAACACACTTTACGGCCAATTCCCATTCCCAAACGGTCAAATACAGACGCTTGCAATCTGCAACTTCACCACTAGATGCCACTAAATCCTACACACGGGTCCTTTATATTTATTTTTGTGACCATATTTACTGAGCAGGACAATTATTTTTACAGTATAAAAATAAACTATGTAAGAAGCACTGTATCTAAATGACCTCAACCATATCTTTGTATGTCTGAGCTGCTGTTACTTATCGGCCGACACACTGTATATTTCTATTCATATCTTTAATAAGCTGATATCAGTCGATATATCTTCTGTATATAGTTATATATAATTAATTTAGAGGAAATCTCCTGAGGAAGACATTCAGTATGGTCAGCTCTTTTTCCAGTCCCCTTCATTTGTCAAATCAGGTGAATGAGCATTGTGATGAACGATGGTCAGATCCTGGTGCGGATGAAATCCAAGTAGATGTTACTAGAAGAAGCCCCTGTGTGCGTGTGTGCATGTGGGTGGGGTGCGGTACACTACCGGAGAATAATGACCTGTTCAATATGGAATGTGCACTTATACTGTATGTTCCTTCACAATAAATCCAAACCAAGGAAAGACATGAAGGGTTAGTCAATAAAGGCTGTGTGTGTTTGTGTGTACATATCATTGGAATGTAACCTAATGGATGAGTAATATAATGATCTGCTATAATATGACAGATGTTCTGTTAATGAAAAGGGAATTATAGGGATTTAGACAACTTCAGACTTTCAGATTGACTCATTAAACAGATCTTTCACTCCCCATGTATCTACAGTTTCATTCTTCTCACAGAGCTTTCTGTGGTTTAGTTTTTCTCTCTGGATCAGGCTATTTGAGAGGCAGGTCCGAGAAATTAAAAAGGGCACCAGAGTGCAGAAAGTTGCGTGCATTTATGGTGAAACATTTTAGCCAAGGTTAGAATTAGCAACTTAGAGGGCACTTAACATTTTTTACACTGGAAGGGCACCCTAGAAGGCATTTCATCCTATATACATCGATTGCCCTGAATCTACCAGGGATCTGGATATTGCAGTGGCTTACAAAATCCACTACAACAACATTAATCGGCCCTAATGTTATGGAGTGTGTGAGAGAGAGAGAGTACGATCACTTGTGATGTTAGAGGAATGTTGATACGTGCTGGTATGTGATATTATATACACATACACACACACACACACCAGTGGCATTAAACCCAACATGTCAGACCGTGGCTGGAAAAGGAAACGCACTGTAGAGATTTTCACACCAACAAATGATCCAACATGTAAGAACACACACACAAGCATGAAGCACACGTATGTTTCACATTAGGCGAGTTAGAGTGAGAGAAACGCACCAGTCACACAGCAGCCGTTTCTCCAAAAACCTCTCTTTCTCTTTGTCCTGTCCACTCTCCATCTTTTCCTTTCTATTTGTCCTCTCAGCCCCCCATTAGTGTGCACGTCTGTCCGTGTGTCCGTGCCACTGCAGCTCTAATTGAAACCACACTGTCTCTTTTCATCGCCAGACTCTTTCACAACTTCAAACAATTTGTCTGTCTGCAAACACACCGCCTGCTGTCTGTCTCTGAGTCCAAGTCAACGGTTCCCTAAATGCAGACCATTCTCACATTGTGGTGTTTGATACAACTGACTAACTTTTTCTGTGTGTGTGTGTGTGTGTGTGTGTGTGTGTGTGTGTGTGTGCGTGCAGTATATTCAGAGGGAGTATATTTTTCTTGGCAGTTTGTGGAAATCCAAACAATGTATCTGGTTTCCGGAGTAAGTTTAGCATCAGACTGGAGTTTGTTTTCAGTAACATTGATAATCAGAATTTTTTCACAGTATTGTGAAGTTGATTTTAATCAACCACAGCAATATAAAGTGACTTTGGAGGTAATGGTTTATAAAGCCTTTTGGGTTGTATGTGGGCTGTGCAGCCTTATCGCACAGCAGCTGACTGTCTGTGGCTTTAAGGAACTGTACGGAAATTATTGGGAGGTTATGCACTTTTTCTTTTTGCTGAAGGGAGAGAGTGAGTTTTAGAGCAGGGGGTCTAATGTGTTTTTTTTTCAGCCTTTCTTTGTGAGATTTATTATATGAGAAAAATCTAATAGTTACATCAAAAAGTTGGCTTTTGTGTTTGCCACAGATAATAAAGGTGATCTTTGGCAAGAGGACGAAAGTTATTTGTTCTCTATTGTAAGGTTTTAGGGATTTAGCAATTCTTTACTCAACAACAGAGAGTTGATGTATTTTCACCATTTTGTTATGTTTACCATACATATATTATTTTAGGGCACGAAGAAAATATTAATACCACCTTGCTTTTTTATAAAATTATCATTCTTATATTTAGGGCTGTAGTCAACCAAAGAAAATCTAGGTTGACTGAAATTCTATCTACTCTAACAAATCGATTTCACGGTGGGAAAGAATTGGACATTATTTCTAAGGTAACTAAATCTCTTACAGTGCACTGAGGGCTCTCTACCTGCTAGCTGCTGGGTGATAACCCAAGGTACAAAACATTGACGAGTAAATAAATTCCTGCACTGTGACCAGTTCTTTTTCACACATAGTAATATCGTTACTTTCAGGACATAACAAGTATATTTATATACGGAAGCAACACACACAACTTCATAGCTTAGATGTGCAGATATGAGGCCAGCATTTAGACGATTAGAGAGGTTGTGGCAAACCTCTAGTTTTACCAAACTATATTTGTAGGAGAGGACAAAGTCAAATGTTAAAATTGTTGTCGTTGTTAACGTCCATTCGATTTTGCAGAACTTTGACCTGCCCTACTTACAGTTTTTTTAATGCAATGATGGACTATAACCTAAATTTAATGTGTAGTAAGATTTAAATTTACCTCCACCTAAGCACTGCCAAGTCCTCCGTGTCCCTACGCTTCTACCTGTAAGTAACCCTCTAAAGTAATTTCTGGATGTACACGACTGCCGTAATGTTTTGATATGCCATCCAATCAGGTGATGTGGTATAAAGAGTGAGAAGGTTTGCATATAGAGGAGGTTGGGGTGGAAGGATGGCTCAAACAGAGGACTTCAACTCAGGACACTACTTTTCGGGAAACCAAAAGTCACTGTGGCTGTGGCTCAGAGGCAGAGCGGGTTGTTTTCTAATCGGAAGGTTGTGGGTTTGATCCCTGGCTCCTGGTGCCACATGTCGAAGTATCCTTGAGCAAGATACTGAAACCCAAATTGCTCCCGATGCCCTGCATTGGTGTATGAATGTTAGTTTCTCTTTGATGGACTTTGCCAGTGAATGTGTGTGAAAGGGTGAATGTGGCACATAGTGTAAAAGCGCTTTGAGTGGTCGGAAGACTAGAAAGGCGCTATACAAGTACAGGTCCATTTACCATTACTGTTGACTACTTTTTAACTTGCCAAAGTTACGTTAGGCATATTACTTACATTAGGTATGAAGCCTAACTTATGTTTTTTACATTACATATGTAACATTACTAATGCTACCTCCTTATGTTACATACTTATTTTAAACAAAACCACAATCTTTTACTAAACCTAGCCATGTAGTTTTTGTGCCTAAACCTAAACGAACTGTCACCACTCAAAGTCATAAAACATGACATTTTGAGAATCTGCCTCTGGATTCCATGAATGTCTGAAGGATCTTTGAATCATCATGATATAATAGAGAGCATTCATATGACACATTAGCTGATTACTGACTGCTCATTTCTTGTAGAATTACTAAAGTTATGTAGCAGAGAGACATGTAGCAAATATGTGTATGATTGTAATCTTTCAAAGTGTTTTTGTGCGTGCGTGTCCTGCTGTTTCTTTAATTATTAGTTGCTCATGACAAGTGTAGAGTGGAATGAATGAAATTAAATTTCTAAATCCACATCTGATGACTTATTTCCTGTCACTTTGATACTTGCATAAATGGAACTTGCCAGCTGCATTAACTCTTTAAAAACCTATATTGCAATAAATACTACAGCAACAGGCAAGCATGTGCAGTCATCTTATCCAAAGCTACACTTGGCTACATGAGGCTATTATGATAATAAGAATCCACTGATCAGACAGCTGGAGGGCCATCATGACAGTCTTTTAGAAGTTTCAGGAATGAGAGAATATAAGAAATGGTGGCCCTGACATTGTAAAGAGCAGTCAGTGGGGAAGATGTGAGGTGGAAGAAAGACTGAAAGGAGACGTCAAAGGATGAAGAATGATTAAAGAAGAATGGGGAAAAGAAAACAGGAAGAGTTTAACTAAAGAAAACAAATACCAAGGTCATGTGGTCTTAACACAGCAAACAGCAGAGACTTTTCTCCACCTATCAGAAGTTGACCCCAGAGGCCTGTCTTTGATGGAGATGTTTATTTGCCCACAATCTGTGTCCTTCCAGTCCCTAAATCAGCTCAACTACTCTAAGCTGTATTCTATCCATTTACCATTAAAATGTCATGCAAATGCTTTTTCCAGTCTCTCTGTCCAAACCTCTCAGCAAACAGAAAGGTGATAGACGATTCTACAACACTGTGATCTGTGTTGTGATGAGATTTTAGAATTTTCACTGCCACAACTTTTCAGGGATTATTCAGTAATTTGTCTGCCAACTCCAGTGTTTCTGGGGGCCGGACCTCACTGATCACTGTACAAAAAAATTTAGTTGGTTGGATTTTGGTGAAACTGGATAATAATTTATGAAGGAAGTATTTTTCCTCTGACATCCTCCGGCTGCTCTGCCTCAACTCCGCTAACTGCTGCTGTAGCTGCCATTAGAAACAAATTTCCTCCCAGGGATCAGTATGTATATGTAAGTATTTCTGATTCTGATTCTAATGCCACAGAACCGGGCTCAGGAGCCTCCCATTGAACACGGCCGAACTGGGAACGAACACACCCTCCGAGACCGACGGAGGCTAGTTTGGCAACAGCTGTACTGACGGGATTTACGGAGTTTTCTGATGGACTTGCTAACTGTTAAGTGTTAACTCTAGCTAACTGTCGCTGCCATAGCTAATTTGTGCAGCAAACGTTAGCTGACTTAACCGCAGTCTTATATTCCTTCCCGGTCTGGCTGTGCTATTTACTGGGAGCCCCCAGTCCGGCAGATTCAACTAATAGGACTGCTATAGCTGCATGGTGGGGTGACATAAAACACATTCAGTGCTATTGGCACATAAATATCCAGAGTAAGCATTGTTTTAGTTTTTAGTACCAAGTGAGTTACACTGGCGAACAAGGCAAATAGTAAAAGAGGCCCTGTAGCTTATGTCATATAGAGCCTAATTATTTCAGCAAAAAGGGAAAATAAGAAGCTGAAGTCAGCCAATGAGATCATTTATGGTGATCTTTCTCTTTGCATTGCATGACCTTGTGTTTAGTAGTGTCTGCAAAAGCAGGTGTTGGGAAGGAATGGCTAGTTAATAGATGTTAGATCAATGGAAACCATATGATTAGAAGTTGAATCAGGAAGATTTCGGAGTCGAGGGGGTGACAATCTTTAACTACAAGAGGACATTTAGATTCAACAGTTTAAGAGTTGAATCCAAATCCAAAGGTTGTCCCATCTGGATCCACCCAGTTTTTAACTCTCACACATCTGTGTTTTGTATGTATGTATTTGTTGCTTTCCAGTCACTTTAAGGCTAAAACCCTTTGGTAGTGGAGCATTCTTAGATTTGCAAAATAAAAAAAACAAACATTACTTAGGGGTAAAGGGGAGTGTTTGAAAAAATTACATATTTTTTTCTTGTTTTGTGTTTTGCCATTGACTAAATGGTTGAGATGCAGTACAATCCTAATCTCCTCGTTTAGTTTTGCCATAAATATATATATATATATATATATAAAGAATAATTTTTTTTTTATTAAAGAATAAAACACTGTGTACATTTCTAAAGATGGATAAATACAGCATTAGAAGGCCTGCCACTGTATGTAAGCATTTCTCTCTCCAAACACATGACATGTGGAAAGTAGCAATCCCAGAGGTTTCTTCTTTTATTTGAAATCCAAGAGATATCTCATTAAAGATAATATTCTGACAATTCCCTCTCCCTACTGGCCGTCTTGACTGAAGCTGACCCAAGGAATCCTCTTTTGATTAAGGTGTTTACAATCCTTGAAACAGCTTATCATTGGCAGCGGGTTAAGAGAATTAACATTCACTCGCATACAGATCTGAGGAATCCCTTCCAATCTTTCCAATTAAGTTCCCGGTTAATATGCCAGGCAACTCTTGAAGATCAGATAGAAAGAGATTATCACATTTTTTTGGCACTGATTTTAGTGTTATTAGGCTTTGCTATAGGCTTTAACATTTTGAAGGTCGTGTAGAATTAATATCTGAGATTGGATTAGACTGAAGTTGTTAGAGAAACTTGGAAAATTTGGACCTTTGCAGTCAGTTATTAAAGAGTAATTTAACACCTACTGAAAAGCAGTGTTTTGCTTCCCTCGGTTTCAGCTTGCAGCCTGGTAGTATCAGCTAGTACGTATCAGTTAAAGGTCTAGTGTGTAGGATTTAGTGGCACCTAGTGGTGAAGCACACGTACACACATACTGTAATGGTTCACACAGACACACGCTAAATCATGTCACCAGTGTGCCAATTTTTTTTTTTTGGGGGGGGTGGCAACTTTATAAAACATACTGCTGACAGTAAAAGTCAATAGACGGACACATGCACATGCATACATTTTTGGCCCAAGTAGGAAAAAAAAAAAAATTATTAATTGGTAAATGGACCTGTACTTGTATAGCGCCTTTCTAGTCTTCTGACCACTCAAAGCGCTTTTACACTACGTGCCACATTCACCCTTTCACACACATGGAATAGGATATTTCACATACCATCACCAAGCATCTAAATGCAGTCACCTTACCATATACAGCAGGTGGGCCCACCTCAGTCTGATCTGTGATTTTTCATTGCATACAGTAAAGGGGCCACCTCTGGGGGTTAACTATGCAATTTTAAATCTTTCTCTCTGTGTCTCTCTCTGTTACAGGTGTCCAGTAGCCAACAGGACATGTCCTCCTGGTCAGACTTGGAGCAGCAGGCAGTGTCGATGTGTCAGCATGACCACCAATGTGCACCACAACCCCCCTCCCCCACCACTTCCCCCTCCGAGGCCCTCCCAACAGCACCTTGGTGAGTGTTTGGACACGTAGAGGACGCTGTTATTGCTCATTTTTCAGGAGGAAAATCAACAATTACAGCTGCTGATAGGTATACAGTAGGTCTAATAGCAAGGAAGTTACCCTCAAAGCCAAGACTATTTAAGCAGAGTAGATGGCAGCTTTTGGAAGCTGTGTGTGGGTCTTTATTTTTCCATGTCCATAATACCTAATGTGTAACCTAAATAGATGCAAATTAATGATGCAGATAGAAAAACAGAAATTACACTGTGATGAAATCAGCTGCATTCCTTACATCTACCTCTCTGAGCTCAATGCGCTACAACCAATGGGAGCACTCATGTGGGTAATCTTTAACCAGCATTCTAAAGACTGTATACACAAGAAAACTGAAAGAAAAGGTGGCCCACAGGTGGTGGGGAGGGCCTCATCTGTACACTGTAAAAAACTGTAGAGAAAACTCATAATTTCAAGACAGCTATCTGCACTAAATGTTTGAGTTTTAAGTCAAACTCAAGTTTTGAAATATAGTAAAGGTTTTGCTGACCTATAATCTTTAGTTGAGGTAATTTACTTTCTCTTTAGAAAAACTAAAATCTTTGAGTTTTAGAAAGAAAAAAAATCCACATTTCAGAAATTGTTCATAGTGAGCTCTGAACCCGATTCTTCAGTTGCAAGTCAACAGTTGCAATTTAAAATATTAAATTATTAGATATAATTTTTTCACTTTAATGAGTTTGCTTAAGAAATTTTGCAATGCAGATTTTTACTATAACTCCTAAGAGATTCATGTTTTTCTGAAGAAGTAAGCTGATTGCAGCTGATCGTAAACAACACAGTTCAGCTGGTTCCCTTCAAGCATCCAATTGGCGAATGTGATTCAGGGTACCTTATTTAAGCAGCTTTAGCATGCCAACACATTCTACTTCCTCTGCAAGCCGATTTGCACATGCACATAGAAGAGCATGGAGGTGTGTTCTCATATGGCGCGTGTCAAGCGCCATCCCTAGCACAAACAGGAAGCACCATGTTGCAGTGCGTCAATCTCCTGAAGCTGGTCAGCCTTGTGGAGACAGCAGATCTGCACAGATGACAAATACTTGTTTGCTATAATTACCTACTACCTATGACTCGCCAGGTAATGCCTTTATGCCATTATAATGAATAATTTCAGGCGTGGTGGCGCCGGGAAATAGGACAGTGCTGTGAAGCGGGCGCGTCCATGCATTGCCACTATGCATCTAGTCACCGCTAGTGTGGGGGTTATACATAAAGGCAGCTGTGTTGATGCACGATGTTCGGTGCCAGTGTGTTTTAGCCTTTAGGCTTTCCACATATGCATGTGGTTGGGCAAGTAGGTACAGAGCCATAGCAGCAAATATAACATACTGCACTGGGAACTACAGTTTTCTGCAGATGAACTTAACACACACTATTAGCCATCTTTCTCCATGAGAGTCTTATGACAGCAGAATGTCCATGTGTTCTCTGAGGAGTATTTATGACTGCACTGTGTGTGTGTGTGTGTGTGTGTGTGTGTGTGTGTGTGTGTGTGTGTGTGTGTGTGTGTGTTTTGTGAGTTCCTCACTGTGTGTGTTTGGCTATGATAACACCCCGGACTCAGTGTAAACAAATGAGAAACAAAAGAATGTGGGGACCCCGGAGAAGCAGATTCCACAGATACTCATGCATATCAATACACACTTACACTGTATACATTACAGGGCCAAAACAAATCATCTGTGAATGATAGTAGGAGATACTTGTAGTGTCAAATTATATTTCAAAAGAAAATTGAGTAACAAAAGCGTGAGTGGGTGATTGGGTAGTTTTAGAATGAATGTGAAGAAAATATGAGTTCTCATAAAATAATGGCTTTTGTTCATGAAATTTGCTGTGCAAAGTTTTTTAAAGAGCTCCATGACAGGGAGATGAGCCAGACTACTCATATTACTACAATACAAGTAAAGGTGCAGTGTGAAACATTCAGAAGGATCTATTGTGAGAAATGGAATATAATATTCATAGGCATGTGGTTGTTAGTGTATAATCACCTGAAAATAAGAAGTTTCTACGGTAGTCCAAAATGGACAAACCACACACTGGCACAGGTTAATATTAAATAAAGTATTATAAGGGTAAAGTGTACCAGTGGGGTGCAAGTAAAGTGACAGCAGTTTTATGGGGATGAAGCTGTCCTAGTGGTGTGGGACCAGATGTTGCAGTATGTCTTCCAGATGGCAGCAAGAACATTGTGGTCCTTGATGGTCCTGTTGGCCTTCCCACGATGCTGGGTGTAAAGGCCCTCCATGGATGATGGCTGCTGATGTACGGAGCGGTTTTCATACCATACCACAGTGAATGGGACAATAGTGGAAAGAAATCTTCCACAGGCAGATAAAACCTGTCCGTTAAGCTGTTAGATGAGTAGGGTTGAGGGCTGAGATGTAACAGTATTTGTTTGAATCCAGTTCACCGCGTCAAATCCTTCTACTGCTTGAGCCAGAAAGTGCATTGTGTAACAGTCAACAGTGGGTTGTCATGTCATTAACTGTGGTATAACTTCAGAATTTAAATACAGAAAATTTGACATTTATTGCTTTTTCTTTTCTTTGATGTAATTGAAAACAAAACCTAAAACATTTACAGTTAATGTAAATGTTGATGATGTTAAATGTGGTAAAAGGTCATTAAAAAGACAACAACAATTATATGATAAAACCTGTGGCAACCTTGGCCAATCCTAAAAATGGTAAATGGTAAATGGACCTGTACCACCTGGACCACTCAAAGCGCTTTTACACTACATGCCACATTCACCCTTTCACACACATTCACTCAGTGATGGCAAAGCCCATTGAACAGAAACTAACACATTCATATACATTCTCACAGCAATGCACGGCATCAGGAGCATTTCGTGGTTCAGTATCTTGCTCAAGGATACGTCGACGTGTGGCGGGAGGAGCCGGGGATCGAGCCAACAACCTTCCGATTAGTGGACGACCCGCTCTTTACTCTAAGCCACAAAAGCACCCAAGGGCTATGGGAACCACTGCTCTGTTATGAGTTGGATGGCGCTGTGCAGTATATCAAGGACAGATATCTTAATCAATACATTTGACTAGATTGATCTGTGGACCGACTAAATCACCCTGAGTCTGTTGCGCCATCGTTAATTTCAGCTGTCGGGGCAGCAGATTCACAAAGCAGCAACTTCTCATGATGGAGAGAGACCCCCAAGTCACCCCTCGAAGATTAGGACATAAAACAGAAATTTGGCAAGTAGGTTTGACAAACTATGGCATTAGTCCAGCAGAACAGACCCTAATATTAGGATATATTACACAAGAACTCTGTTGAAGAGTTCCCCAAAAACATGTGTTGATAGGTCTGAAAAGGCAAGAAATTACCTTGAAATACAGAGTGTGCACGACAGGATGGTGTTTAAATAAGGAGGTGAAGATGAAGACGAAATGATGAAAAAATAATGTGAGGTGTAGAAGTGCATTACACATACATGGAACTTAACAAAACACAACTCATAAAGCCAAGTTCAGCCAGACAGCGAATACAGGCTGTGGGAGATATTGTCAGAAACTAAAAACTAAAACCCCTGATTATCTATCATCTACAAGAACTGAGTGCCCAGTGCCATCTATGGACAGAGTTGCTTTCTCTATCAGAATGTCAGTGAGAACAAGTAACTAGGGCTCCCACTATGTAATAAAGGCTTTTTTACTTTACTGAGGATGCGTGGCTGAACTTTTGTTGGAATCCATTCACTTTTTTCAGGAACATTGGTGGCAGATTCATTAGCACTTCCAAGTTCATAACCAACAGCTCATTCTTCAGGTTACAAAATCATGTAATATATGTCTCAAGAAATAAATGCCTAATTTAAAGCTAATATAATAAAACAATTTGAACTTTGGTGCCCTCCAGAGGTAGTATTCAGAAACACTGTGGCAGCGTCACAAATTTTCACTTAATATACTTACACAATACTTAATATCCGTTCTTTTTTACCTTACTGAGACTATTCCTGCCTGGGAGGCTCAGTGCCTGCCAGGGACAGGCTTGTATCCTGTTGGTTTAATAGTTTAGTGTAAAGTTATCAGTATATTTTACTTTGCAGTGTTAGCATTAAGACTTCATGCAGCCTGGATTAGTACAAGTAGATTTTGGGACATTGTCAGTTCTTAGGAACACTCAGTAGTCATTATTATTCAGGAATGTGTGGCAAAATTTGGCAGTATCAGGAATAGAGATTTAACCAAAAAAAAACTTGAATAGGCTGCTACAAACCAAGTAATATTCCCCAGTCCTATACTGGAAACCAGAAATCATGTCCTAAATAGACAATGCAGCAATATCGTTGGTTTGATAATTGGTTAAAAAATTACAAACTGTGAAGCTTGGTAGTGGAACAGTTTTTTCTACAAACTGTTCCCACCAGAAACAATGAACAGGAGCTTCCCAAAAACAACAATGACATTTTTTTCCAAAGATGGTTTCCATATAATATCCTGGAATGGAGTAACCACAAATTTGTAGCTTAGTTTCCACATGCCGAGATAACACTGACCACTCCACTAGGGACTAGTTTTTGTACGTTTGCTTATGTTTATGTGTGTTTACAGAAAACTGACCTCTGCCAGTGACTGTCACACTGAATCACAAACAATATTGTCAGCTAACCCACAATGCATCAGCACTATGTGATCCTGCATAATTATAGCCTTTTTATATCACTATATTATATCATGATTGTGCAAACCATTCTGTCAATATGACATTCCATTCAAATCTTTCAATATTCTCGTAATCCACAAACCCATATTCAACATTTCTTGTCTGTAAATGACGGTAACTGTTGTCCCTTCTTGGAAGGGTCTGTGCATTACAAATTGTTGTTGTGAGGTGTAATGGGGCGGCTGTGGCTCAGAGGTAGAGCCGTCCACTAATTGGAAGGTTGGCGGTTTGATCCCTGGTCCCTCTCACTGCATTTCGAAGTATCCTTGAGCAAGACACTTAACCCCAAATTGCTCCCGATGCTGTGCATTGGTGTATGAGTGTGTATGAATGATTAGTTTCCATTCCGGTGAGCAGTTGGCACCTTGCATGGCAGTGCAATGTGTGTGAATGGGATGAGTGTGGCATGTAGTGTACAGCACACTGAGTGGTCGAAACTGTATAAGTACAGTCCTTTTACCATTTAATGAACATTTCAGGGTCTGGTGGCAGCTAAAGTTATTTTAACCTTAAAGTTTCCACATAAATTGTGCTTCTGAATCAGTAATTTGTACCTTCTAAGGTAAGTAATTAAGTATTGTTGCACTTTTTTCCCTTGAATTAATACTTTGTTCCTTCAATTTATAAATGATTTGTACTCTTGAATTAAGTAATTTGTTCTCTTAAATTAATTATTTGTTTCCTCAAATTACATAATTTGTTCCCTCAAATAAATTACATCTGCCCTTGAATTTACCAAAAGGGTTACCTACTGAGACTTCTCCATATATTATATATGTTGTGAAGATTTTGTTCTCTGCTTGAAAACAGTAAATTAAGTTCTGAAGCTCATTACAGTGATTTAGGTAGTTACAGCCTGTGTAAGTACATACTGGAGTAGACACAGCTGGCATTTTGTCAGCAGCAAATTGTGTCTTTGTTATCTGTGTTTGTTCATCTGTAGACACACACACACACACACACACACACAGTATGTGTGTATGGAACAGTCTGAACATCCATTTGCCAGACCTTCCTTTCCTCTCCCTGTGTTTCTCAGCTAAAAGCTGATTTGCCAGTATTGAAAGAGAACCATCTGTGTTATCCCTGAGGAAACAGAGAACATCGCTAGTCCATTTCAGGAATGTCTCAGTTTCATAGTTTATCAGTGTCGTCAAACAACGGTCACGCACACAGTTTTTTTTAGATGTGTTTTCAATAATAGCAAACATTTACAACAGGGTTTTGCATAATTTGTTTTGTAAGACTTTACAACAGCAAGTGACCACATGTAACCTTTGCATTTCCCTTAAGTGCAATCATTCTGATCACAACCGCGGCTTCCAGCACTGCAAGTCTGAAACGATTTGCGACAAAAAGTTTTTTGCGAGTTTAATTGTGTTTAGCCTGACTCATAGCTGCTAATTAGCTAACCATAGCTTGTCAGTCTCCTTTGGAGAGTTAGCATTAGGCTACCACAAGACACCAAAGTAACGTTACATAAACAGGGACTTTTTTTTCTGCAGCAAACACAAAACACAAATACTTACAAATAATATTTCTGGAATGGGAGAAATATTGTGCTACTGTTGTTGTTGTTGTTGGGTTTGTTTATTTGCTGGGTTGTATGCAGTTTTAAATTAGGAAATCTGCAACTTTCTTTTAAGGGTACAATGGCCAGTTCAAAACAGGGCACCGGCCGTTTGACCGTGGTATAATCCCTGCTCTGTCAATTGACTATGCTGGGGAACTCTAAACTGAAGAGACTAGAAGCATATGAAAAGGAAAGAAAAGAGAGATAGAATACTCTATGTCTCCTGTTGTTTAATACAAACCCAACCTGTGTCTCTCCCTCTCCCTCCATCTCCACAGACATATTCTCAGCAGATGTGTGTGGCCCAGGTAAGGAACTGGACGTAGAGACTTGTCAGTGTGTGTGTCAGCGTGGGGATCAAACTCAAGACTGTGGCCCTAACCGACACCTCGACCCCAACACCTGCCAGTGCGTCTGCAACATCCTGCCTGCGCCCTCCTGCCCACCAAACCATGTCTTTAATAAGGAGACCTGTCAGTGCACGTGTAGCAAGACGTGTCCAAGGCACCAGCCCCTAAACAAAACAAAGTGTTCCTGTGAATGTAACGAGTCGCCCAACAAATGTTTCCTAAAAGGAAGGAGGTTTTACCAAGCCACTTGCAGGTAAGGAGCAATACCGATCAGTACCACTGCCATTTAATTATCTTTAGAGATTAAAAATGTCACTTTTAGCAGGAAAGTACCCAGCACTTAAAGAAACTTTTCCTCAGCTGGGACAAACATGAAGACCAGCTGAGACTAATTTAATTATATTTATTTAAAGCTGCAGAAGGTAACTTCTATAAAAATATCTTTTTGTCATATTTATTGAAACTATATCCTGACAGTAGAACACGAGACAGATAATGTGTGAAAAAATCAGGTTCCTCTTTCTTTTTCTTTTTTCAAAGAAATTTAAATTTAAATTTAAAACATACAATACCATTAAAATACAAGACATTTTCAAATGAAAATACTTCAATCAATCAATGGGATTGATGAAATGTAATTTAAAATATGCATTTCACATAATATTTAGTGTCAGTATGCCTGCTACATAGTCACATAGTTCTGACATACATCCATGTTCAGCTATGAGCTAAGCTGAGATGGCAAGATAGTAAGCGGAGGTAAAATAAATGGTTCAATAACACTGCAATCATAGCTACAAACAGGGACTATTGGTAAGAGAAGTGTGGGTCAGACGGACCCCTTTTCCACCAAACTAGCTCTGGTTTTCGAAACAGTTCGGCTTATGTTTCCAACAGTCAACAATAAACACTCTTCTCATTAGGAATAAACCTGCCTCCTGTGTGAACTCTCTGTAGCTGAATAGGGTCAGCCCTATCTAGAGCCAGTGTTTGGTTTGTCCATTCTAGGCTACTTTAGAAACATGGCAGTTCAATATGGTGACCTCCAAGGAAGGCAACCCGCTGCGTCTGTAGATAAATACTCACAATAAGGTAACAAAAACGCAAAAATTCTTACTGTCAGGTGATTATACACAAATGAAAACATACCTATGAATATTATATTCCATTTCTGCTAATAGATCCTCCTAAAAGTTACACACTGGACTTTTAATATAGCTTATGATACTACAAGTCTCTATAGGAACATGCCATGTGTTACGTGAACCCAAGTGTGTTGGCACAGAAGCTTTAGCTTATTTATGCAGTTAGTTGACCAACTTAGCATACATTTTTTCTATATTACCGTAACTATGCCGAGGCATTTGGCGGCCAATGTTCTTGTTATATTTTAGTGGTTCAGTGGTTGCATCATCCTGGAGAAGTCAACCCCCGCTCTAACACCAACACACACACTTGAAGGACCAGTGCTCTGGCTAAACACCGCCACTAATGTGCTCTAATGTGTTTAGCCTAGGGTGGCCATTCGTCCGGCTTTAGGCCGGACAGTCCGGCTTTTAAATGCCCTGTCGGATTTTGAGAAAATAACTAAAAAGGTCGCCTTTTGACACATTACCTCGTTAGTTTAATACTTATTGGCTAAAAATGTGTGTCAGACTAAGTCATTTCATTGGTTACATTTTCCTATGACCTTTCAACACATGGCTAATTTTAATATTCAATGAGCCATGTGTTGATTTGCAGATCACTGCAGTTGCTACCACCAGGCTGTCAATCAAGCTCTTAGACAGAGAACATAATGTGGGTTGTTGGACTGAAATTCTGAAAATGCACATACTCATATATAGATAGGCAAAGCCATCTGAAACAGAAGGTGCTGTATTTTTTTTACCCTTTATCTATCCAGATAAAAACATTAAGAACAGTTTCTGTATGATGTTTATTAGACCTATGTAATCTGAATTGGAAGGCCACGTTGTCATGAGCTGTATCTTGTATATTTATTATTAGCTATGTGGTATGTGTATGCACCTTTATGTCATCTGGTGGAAAAACATTAGAATTTAAAACCGGATCATACCAAACAAATATCTGCTTGCGTGTCCCTGTGTATGCAAAGTGTCCTCCTTTTTGATGTGAAGGAAATGGCCACCCTAGTTTAGCCAGAGGAAAGCACCGGTCCGGCAGGGTTAGGTGGTTATTGCAGTGAACTCGGTGTGTAATACAAGACCTCAGTGTGCTAATGGCTTCTCCTAGCTGTCACTTAACCATTTCCTTTCCCCGCACAGGAGGAAACACACACACATACACACACATCCATCCATCCCGTTCATTCTTGACCCTTTGTGACCTTGTTTGAGAGTGATTTATGGGTATAACGTAGCTGTAGGACCCTAGTGTCTAGGATCTGACACTTGTCTGTATGTGAATGTGAGGAGTGTGTGTGTCTATTTGATCTCCTCTGTGTATTTCATCATAGGTTCATAGGTCTATTTAAGTAACCGTATCTAAATATTCTGTCACCCACAAAGTGGCACCCTGTGTAGCTTTAAAAGCAGTGGCAATTACACGCCAGTCCTAGAATCTTTGTCTTGTTGACATGTAAGTGCGTATTCCAGGGGGGTCCGGCCCTCCAAGGCTTCACATGTTTTGAGAATTCCATGGATCCACTCATCTCCACTCCTCAATCATTTGAAGGTGGAACTATAAGGCCTTGACTTTGGGCTGGGGTTAACCAGAGCTTTTGAACGCCAATACTAATGTTAGCCCTTTCTCAATAACTGCATCAGAAGTGAAACTGTAAAACACTTCTTCCCATTGGACATCCTGTTCTGGTGAAAGCTCTGGTGGTTTAGGCATGGGCTGTAAATATCATAGTAGTTCTGAAGGCTGTAGCTTTTACTGCTATGAAATATAAACCTTAGTTGTGACTTTTGACCTTTAGAACCCACAAGAAAGTAGTTAGTGTTTGTCTTTGTGTGGCAGCAGTGCTTTTCAATCATTTGCAGCAGTGTTTGGCTCGACAGAAAATCTACAGGCTCCTGGGATACGGTGGAGGACATTGTGAATACTGGCTATACAATGACAGTCTTTAGTTTTCATTCGCACCAGCAGCGCCTGAGCAATGGAGCCAGCGGAGCAGCTGCACCAACCACCCTTAGATTTGGGAGAGCAATTGTGTGCTTTCACATACGCTTTTTGATCATACAACTTTCCTATTTTAAAACATTTGAGCTAGTTTGGATCAGAAGTAATTATATATGGAAGTTTCATATGTAGTATATTTATTAAAAATTACCAGTGTTACCAGTCTTAAAAAACTTATATTATAATACATATATATATATTATTGTTGTAAGGTGGGTGCGCGCTATTCAGGGAGCATCAAAAACACTTTGGTAATGGCTGAGAAAACTCATAAAGAGGAGAGTTGAGGCGAAAAAAATCCAAGCTTGGACGCAAATACAGTGTCCCTATGTATTATATTGAGGCCGAATTGACAAGAAGGCCCTTTCTTTTTTATTTTTTTTTTTAAAATTTTTTTTTATTAATTTTTTTTTTTTTTTTTTTAAAAAAAAAAATTTTTTTTTTTTTTTTTAAATTTTTTTTTTTTTTTTTTTTTTCTTATATAGTAAAAAAAAAAAAAAAAAAAAAAAAAAATTTTTTTTTTTTTTTTTATAAAAAAAAAATTGTTATATTTTTTTTTTTTAAAAATTTTTGGGGGGGGGAAAAAGGGTGTTGATTCTTAGTGGGAATGATAGTATTAGAGATGCTTTACATTACATGGAGGCCTTTGATTGTGTTCATATTCAAACATTGTTTAATGGAGCTATACATTGGTTGAAAATATGGTTGCAAATTGCAAAAATGTATGGGGCGCCCTGATAGCTCACCTGGTAGAGCTGCCATGTACCAAGGCTGAGTTCTTGCTTGACTTAAAATCGTTTCAGAAACATTTTTTACTGTCCTGTTTAGCTGTAATACGAGATTGTGTATGATCAGGCTAGCCGCCATTGTTTCCTGCTATGGACCACTCAAAATGCGCAGCCAATGAGAGCAGCGGTACTCCACAGACTAATGGTGGACGTCACTATAGGTTCAGACTTTGAAACCACTCTACTTATCTAACCCCATTAAAAAGTCTCCGTTACTTGTTGTAGTCATGGTGTGTATTACATAGCTGAGAGCTGCAAGCCTATGCCAACCAGCAAACCCACCTGGGTGAGGACAAAACCGTCAATTCATGAATTCAGTGGTACTTTTGTTTAATCTTTCTCTGCACACAAAGTTAGATCATTTAAGATCTGTGACAGAGACACAGTCCTTCCAAACCAACAGTGATTTTTCTCACCAACACAATCTACATTTTAGACATTTTACATTGATGTTATTAGTTTTGAAGCTAAATCCATTTTTTTCTTTTTTATTACAGTTGTCTCAGGCCTCCTTGCGAGGTGAGGAGGCGGAGGTGTGAACCAGGTTTCTCCTTTAGCGAAGAAGTGTGTCGCTGCATACCATCCCATTGGAGACGGCTGGACTAATTACCGACTCACCGCTCATGAGGTGCTAATGAACAGATAACAAACTTAGCAAGTAGAATTCACCACCCATCCATCCCCTGTAGACCTGCTGGTCACGAGTATCCCCGTCAGCTGTGATGGCAGCTAAGTGTGCAGACCATGGTGAAGGTGGGGAACCTCAGTGATCGGAGTGCAGATATGGCGAACTCTGCTGATTTTGAAGGTGGAATATGCACTGACTCGGCCATGAGGACGTTTTAATGGTAGAGTGCAGCCCAGAAACAGAAGGATGGAATGAAAGAGAGAGAGAGAGTCAACACTCGACACTTGTTTTAAAATATTGTCTAAATAATTTGTTTTAAAATATTTGGGGGGTTTTGTATTAATTATGTCTTAGTATTCTTATGTCAGATATTGATTATATAATTTATTAAATGTTATTTTTAAACCTGTTTACTGCAAGTTCAATCTTTTTCCATGAAAATACACTGTGATCAATATTTTTGTATCCTGTATAGTATATATGTAAAATAAAATATACTAAATATTGTATAGATTGTCTGTTCGCATATTATATTGAGGGTATTCTGCTCTTAATCCACCACTCAGCATCAGAAAAAAACTGTTGTAAGAAGTTGAATGGCAGGTGAAGATAAAATCTGTGGTCTCCTTGATCGATTTCAGTTTATTCATATATGTGAATATTTGCTGAAGATGCACATATGCTAAGAATGGACTTTACAGTGAAATAGGAGACATATTGTGTCCAGCAGGAAAACTTTAGAAATGAACAACATTTGCATATTCAAAGGTTTTAATGTGGAAATACTTTTTTTATGGGAAAAAAACACGTCAGACATTACATTATTAATACATTATTGTTCCAAACTGATTATTTGTATATATGTCGTAATATATGTCTGGAGGAGATCTTTAATATTCTTTTTACTTTTATTTATTTCAGGGTCTTGGTACCCATAGTTAATCATATTCCGTGAGTATAACATATGACACCAAAAACTGATATTTTCACAAGCTTTGAAGAAGAAAGGCTGACGACAATTCAACCTCCCTTTGGTAAAATATAAAATTTAGCACTATTTCTAAAGGAGAAGAAAGTCAGCTTAATTTGTAATAAAATGGCTATTCTAAATCAATGTCCATACAGGCCACAGTTATCTAAGAGAGAAAACTTATTTGCTTTTGAACTGGAATAAATTGTATAGATATGGATGCATTATGTTACTTTTTACAGTTATAGTTTTACATTATTGAAACTCTACAACAGCTGGTTTTTAACTCAAAACAAATTCATGTTTTCCTTTTCACCACCATCAAGTTTACTGATTTCTCTTCTGGGTTCAGTTTTGTGTCATAGCAAGGTCATCCACCATAATGATTACCTCACTTAACACATAGCATAGCATATTAAATGAACTGTAACCTGTGGCCAACTGGTAGCAAGGACACATTCAACAATACACTGCCACTTTGGAAGATGTTGAGCATTAATGCAATGTAAAGAAAATGTGATTTGTAGGGGTGAGACATTCTCAAACGCTGGCATTCTATGAATAAAAGAACAATCTATCTCAAAGGTTTTTCAATGCAAATGACTGGGTACCAACGCATTCTGGAAAACCTGGACATTTAGAGACTAGTTTCCCCATCATAGAAACACCTGGAAACTGACTAAATTGACCAGATATCCTGGAAATAATCTATGTTGTCCTGGAAATTTAGAATTTTATTTTTGCCCCTCATTCAGATCTCCTACCTTTTTTACACAGCAATGTTAATTGTATTCAGAATTCAAATTAACACCTTGACTTTCTAGAAAATACATGTTCTGTAAAATGAAATAAATCTGAATTTTAACTGTTACTTACATATGTGGTGTGGCAAAATGACACTGTTAAAAATAAACTGTAAAAACTTCATCATGAATCTGCATCATTAAAAAATGAGAAATAAAACGAGTTAAAAGTGTCAGCAGTAGGTCTGGTATATTATATGGCCGTGTGTGAGCAAGTGCTGCCTTGTATTGTCAAGAAAAACTCCTGGAAAATGCCCTGGAAAATGATTTGTCTGCAAAAAATCATTGCAGAATTCCCAAATTCAGAGGATGCTGGACAGTTGAGTCATAAAGACATGTAAACTAACCATATTATTGTTTCCTCCTCATTTCCTTCCTGAACATTCTCCAGGAATGACTCGTCCTCCCTGCGGCTACACAGACAGCAGGGTACAAATGAAGGTTAACGTCATGGAAATATGAAAACATCCATCAGCTTTTTAAATTGAACTAAGATGTTTTCGCTCTACAGATTTGCCCTCACTGAGTAGGATGAAGAACCCGGCAGTTAAATCTGATAAAGTCACTGAATGTCAGGCCTTGTCGGCTGGGTTCGATGCAACCAAACTATAATGCTTTTGTGGTTCTGGGAGTTGTTGAGATTGTAAAAGACGTGTGCCTGCTTGTTAAAGTCTCGCCCCTTTTCGTTCTGTGCTCTAATAACAGTTGAGCAAGGCTCGGTCAGAAAATTGGTCAACTTTCGCCTTTCCTATACTTAGATATGCTATGTGCTAGGCTTGTCTGTGTTGAAAAGACAACCACATTTTGATGGTTAAACGATAAAAGTGACATGTGATATATAGTCACATCTTAATCAGAATCAGAATCTCTTTTATTGGCCAAGTATGTGTGCGCATACAAGGAATTTGACCCTGGTTTCACGTTGCTCTCAATGTACAAACACAGATTAACAGTATAAACAAACAGACAAGTTCAACAACAAAAAAAACATAGACTAATATGTACAGTTATGCATATCTATAAACAAACATTTGTAGACAGTAGACAATAGTGCAATTGTGCAGAGTGCAAAGGATGCTGAAATACATATTTTACGTGCAGGTATCTTTATGTACATTGGGTAGGTGGATATGACAGTATATACAGTATGCAACTAAACAGAATTTTCAGCAATGGGAAATAAGTAATGAATAATTTCATTAAGACACCATAACTTAAAATTAAGTTAGCTAATGTTAGCAAAATGCTAGCTAACTAGCTAACTATTTGACATTCGTTATTAGCAAGCTAGTTAGGTGGCAAATTAGCTTGTTAGCTAATGTTCTGCTACAGCTTTTTTTCCAAATTAGGGATGCAGCTTTGGACAAGCGGTCCCCAATTAACTGATCTTTAGTTTGAAATGTGTCCTGAAGGTGGCCTAAGTCAGACCATACAAAACACACACACGCACACACACACACACACACACACACACACACACACACACACACACACACACACACAACACACAAGGACTTCCCTCAGAGACAGATCAGTGCAACATGCCAATCATTCATTGTGTGTGTTTGCATTCTGGCTCTGAGTGCAACAGTGCAGTGTGTTTGTGTGTGTGTGTGTATAGAGGACTTACTACTCTGTACACACATACTTTATATTTTATAATCCACTCCAGATGTAGAACGTTAGTTGTTGAACCACCATCACCTCTCCTGTGAACCCAGCTAGTGTGTGTTTTAATGTTTGTATCTTTAGTTGTTTGTGTCTCACCAGCAGAGTCAGACATCAAAATAAGCTTAAGTTTTTGTTGTCATACACACACACACACACACACACACAAACACACATACATACACATAGACATTTATTCTCTGACAACAAGTTATTTTTACGGAAAGAAACTAAACTAAAATTTGATTTCAGGGGAGCTCCAAATGTCAGAATATCATAACATTTGTTCGATGGGGGCTTTCAGATGCTTGTTATAGTTCACCATTAAATCCACACAAATCCATATAAATCCCTCATGTTACTTAACGTGCAGCTGTAGCAAGCAGCCAATAAATGAGCTGCTTTTACTGAAATGTCAGTAGATCAATCCTACCAAATTGTGAACAAGTGAGTTTTTCTTGTTTTTAATTTTTACCTTAATTATTCTAGTAGTTATTTATTGTAGTGTTTTTTATTGATCTTTCTCTTTGTAAGTCCTGGTTTTGAGAGCCTAGAGGCCATTTATAATCATCCATTATCATGTTTGTATTATGTTTGTCTATTGTCTGAGTTGTTTTTATATTTCTATCAAGAGGAATGCCTTGTCTTTTACTGCAAACCAAGTCTACCTTTGGGTACAAATAATGTAACCTTGAACCTTGAATCTTAAAACACAAGACCCCCTGTCTTTAGGTTGGTGGTTCCCAACCTTTTTGATGATGATGAACATGAAGAAGATGATGACGACGACAACAGCAATAATGGGGGACAATGAGCAGTGACAACAGTAATAATAGTAACTGTAGTAATAATAACATTAATAATAATAATAATAATAATAACAATAATATCAGTGATATTAGCAATGGCAGTCAAGCAGGACCATGAGAACCTGCGAGACGAGAAAGCACAAGAACTCCGGGGAAGAAGTGAAGTTAGTAACATGCATTAATGGAACATGAATGAGTGCAGAAAGGGAGAGGAAGGGAGGAGCTCTGTGCATCATGGGAAATCCCCCGATAGTCTAGGCCTATAGCAGCATAACTAAGGGATGGTTCAGGATTCACCTGATCCAGCCCTAACTATAAGCTTTAACAAAGAGGAATGTCTTAAGCCTACTCTTGAATGTGGAGAGGGTGTCTGCCTCCCGAACCACAACTGGAAGCTGATTCCACAGGAGAGGAGCTTGGTCACTGAAGGCTCTGGCTCCTGTTCTACTTTTTAAGACTATAGGAACCACAAGTAGCCCAGCATTCAGAGAACACAGTGTTCTAGAGGGGTAATAGGGTACTATGAGCTCTTTAAGATATGAAGGGGCCTGACCATGAAGAGCTTTGTAGGTGAGGAGGAGGATTTTACATTCTATTCTAAATTTTACATGGAGCCAGTGCAGAGAAGCTAGTACAGGAGAGATGTGATCTCTTTTCCTTATTCTTGTGCTGCAGCGTTTTGAATTAATTGGAGCGTCTTAATGGACTTATTGGGGCAACCTAATAATAAAGAGTTGCAGTAATCCAGCCTAGAAGTAACAAATGCATGGATTAGTTTTTCTGCATCTGTCTGTGATCTAATTTTTGTAATATTACGTAAATGAAAGAAGGCAGTCCTGGAGGTCTGCTTTATGTAAGATAACTCCAAGATTCCTGACAGTGGAGCTAGAGGCCAAGGTAACATCTAGAGTAACTATATCTATAGACAGTGAGTCTCAGAGGTTTTTGGGGCCAAGTACAAGAATTTTGAGTTTAACATCAGAAAATTGCTGCTCATCCAGGTTTTTATGTCCTTTTGACGTGTTTGTAATTTAGATAATTGATTAATTTCATCGGGCTTGATCGATAAATATAACTGTGTATCATCTGCATAACAATGAAAGTTAATGGAGTGTTTCCTTATAATGTCGCCTAAGGGAAGTATATATAAAGTGAATAGAATTGGTCCAAGTATAGAACCTTGTGGAACTCCATGACTAACTGTAGTATTTATGGAGGATTCATCGTTAACGTGTACAAACTGATAACGATCTGATAAGTATGACTTAAACTTAAACTTAACTTAAACCCACCGACCAGCAACAAGGTTAGGGTTAAGGCTATAGAGGGTCTTAAGAAGAGAAGTACACCCTTCCTCAACACCACCAATCATGTTCTGAATGTATTCATTGATTTCAAACACGATCAACTTTATAAAAGTGGATATTATTTGGGGCGCCGGTATAGCTGGTGCCCCACGTACAAAAGACTGAGTCCTTGCTGCAGTGAACATGGGTTCGACTCCAACCTGTGGCACCTTGTTGCATGTCATCCCCTCTCTCTCTCCTTGCTTTCTTGTCAATATTGAGTTGCCCTGTCAAATAAAGTAAAAAAAAAAAAAAAAAAGAAAAGACATTTAAAAAAAAGGATATTTTTTTAGTTGAATATTCTCATGACACATAGCTCCACACAGATGTACCAACAGCTGTCTGAAATGTGATGATGGAAGGTCACGACTGCCAAGTAAGAAGCTCAGATCTGGCAAAATGTCGTACAATGTTCTTCTTGTCCCTCAATGAAATTATTGGTTCAAACATCCATCAAGGGATTTCTTATTTCTCTTCAAACATGGTATATGTTTTGAGGAAAAACATATAACCACTAATTTGTTGACTTTATTTGAATTAGACTTGTACAACAAGTGCTGCAGGAATGAGACTTGACGACCATTCTAGAGAGAATGCTCAGATAATAGAACCAAATTCAGCTCGGTATATTTTTGGTACTCCAAAGGATTTCCGGTTTCAACATGCTCTTCTTTTATTTTGCAAAAAATGATACAAGGAACGCTTCAAATAAACAATAAACACTCAAACACTCACTTCATTGTCAATCCTAATTAAAAGAAAATGGCCACATTACTAATCATATTCTGAAATCCAACATCCTCCATTACTGCATAGGGTTGCATATCTTTTGCTGTAACCATTTTTTTCTATCATTGCCATAGGCACCACTAAATGCATAACGCCCATACATCAGACTGAAACAATGCTGGTGGCTGTAAATGACTGTCTGTCCACTTGCCATTCCCAAGACTGAGGCTGAGCCCTTGCTGCAGCGGCCCAGGGCTCGAATCTGACCTGCAGCCCTTTGCTGATCCTCTATCTCTCTGCCCCCCCCCCCGTCCATCTTCAGCTGTAACTCAGAGATAATGTTGTCAAAGCTTGTCCTATTTATCCTGTGCAGACTCTGACAGGGATGAAGTCCTGGCTGCTCCAGTGGTAATAAGCAAATCCAGGTTGCTCAGCCCTTTAATCAAAGACCTTAAAACAAGAAACTTGATGGCTTTAATCAGTGTCTGAAATAGGCTGGTACTCACTCTCAGTACTGAGCACTGGCACTTCTGATTTTTGTCCACACGAGTACCCTTACTTCTTATTGAGTA